ATTATGTCCCCAGCACTTAGTAACGTGTGTGTGTGTGTGTGTGTGTGTGTGTGTGTGTGTTCGTACCTGTGTGTTTTCAACGGCCTTTTCTGCTTGAGTTGATGTACCTGAGATTGAGAATAGGACTCTTGAAGATGAAGTAGCGTGTGTGTCCTGAGCTTCCTATCAGGCACTAATATGTGGAATAGCAAAGAGGCATCAAGAAGCCCAGCAGATGATGGCTTTGCTTAGGAGCTTACCAGCCAGGCAGGAGGACGGAGACATGGGCCTAAAAGGAGGAGTCATGTGATGGGTCCATCGGCAGCACAGCTGGGCAGCTCTTGAGCTGAATCTGATCCTCAGACTTGTTTTGTTTATACTACCAATATTTTTAAAGAAACTGTATTAGTTGCCAAAATTGATAACTCAAGAGCTTTTACATAAAAATTTCACTTAGCAGCTTCCCAGATTTGGCAACATGGGGGGACAGTGAGCTGGCTTTGCAGAGCAGCCATCCCTGTGCAGGCCCCATGCTCCCTGGTTCTCCGTGGTCCCACTCCCCGCTGTGTTGTGCTCGGCCCACACCCCTTGTTTATGCTACTTGCTGGTGTTTGTGATCTTTACAGTGCAGTCAGGGTGCCACATAATTAGGACAGGACAGGAAATATTTCAGGATTTCAGAAGGAACAGAGGTCACTTTGGAGAGCACAGCATAGTGGAAAGTGTAGAGGCTTTAGAGCTAGGCAAATATAAGCTCGAGTTCTAGCCCTGCCCGCCTCCTGCCTTAGAAACGTAGTTCCCTCCAGCTCCCTTGGCTTAAGAAAAATGGATAATATAACCTCCCTTAGAGGATTGTAGTGAGGATTAGAAATAATGTATTTATAGTATGTAAGCATGCCTGGCACCTGAGCAGCACACACCGTGGTTAATCCTGTCCAAAAAGTCCAGCAGGTCCCTTGGTTTAAATACCTAGAAATAGTTATAAAAAGAAGCCTGAGAGAAAAAAACTCAACTCCAAGTGGATTAGAGTTAAATCTAAAAGATATAAACTCCCTCTCTTTTTTTTTAAACTAAAAGGAAATGCAGTTGTATATTTAATTTTCCTCATGATAGGAAAAGACTTTCTAAGCACAAAAACTGTGGAGGAGAGCCAAAGAAAGGTCATTAGAGTTGACTCTAAAAGTTTTGGGGCTACTCTGTGTTAAATATGATAAAACAGAAGGCAAGTAGCAAATGAGTATGACAGACAAAGTAAAAATATCTAACTATCTGCGCTTATAGATCAATAAGAAAAATGTTAACATCTTGTGGAACAATGCACAAAAACATGAGCAGAGAGTTCACAGCAGAGGTGCAAACAGCAAATAGGCATGTGAGAAATTGTTGATCTGGGTTATTAATTAAAGGGCTCTGAGAATAAGTTGCCATTTATCCCTAAGTTTTTTCATCGTAGACAGTTGATAATGTTCAGTATTAGTGATATGGCCAGAAGACAGACACTATCATACTTTCTTGATGGAATCATTCGTTACCACAACCTTCTTAAGAAGGCAGCCTGGTGGTATAACTCAAATTGCTTCAAGTTCATGCCCTTGGATTCAGCAATTCCATTTTAAGAATATATTCTAGAAATAGACTCAGAAATGTTTTGCAGTAGTTTTTTCTTTCTCTTTCTTTTTAGCAGTACTTGTAAATGAAAATCTCAATCTCCAAACATGTGTACCTCACTGCTATATCCTTACCATAACCACAGTGCCTAACATAAACAGGTGATAAAATACATTTGTGAGATTAAAGAAGGAAGGATATGTTCAGACAAAGGAATATCATATGGCCATATTTTTGAAATACGTATATTTAAGACATAGGAAGATGCTCACAATATAGTGTTAAAATGTAGAGTACACGGCTGTGGAATAATGTAGAATAATCTGTAGACTATTCCTGTACATGTGTTGTATGAATTCTGGATGGTAGGATTAAAGGTGATTTTTATATTTCTTGGTGATTTCCTCAGTCATTCAGCACTTATTTGTTGATGTAGGTGATGATTGGCACTGAGCATATTTTGAAAGGCAAGACAACACTGACCTCTCCTCATGGAGTTTTATCAGAGTAGGAAGGCAGACATTGAACAGGCAAATTACAAGTGCATCACTTACTTTGGTAAGCTTATGTTAATTTTATAGTAAAAAGAAAATCGATGCCAACGGTGATTTTTTCAGGCATTGATGGTTGGTTGTAATCTCTAAGACACTTTTTTAGGATAAGGAAGGAATAATTATGTGAAAAAATCAACACAGAGCTCATACAGTGTGAAGTTACCTTTCCAATGAAGAGAATAATGTTTAGATTTCCTGTCTTTTGGGTGGTTAGTAATGACATAATAAATACATCCAGACATTTTTTCCTAAATAGCATTTTTCTAAAGCAGCGGTTCTCAACCTGTGGGTCGTGACCCCTTTGGCGGTCGAATGACCCTTTCACAGGGATCGCCTAAGACCATCCTGCATATCAGATACTTATATTACGATTCATAACAGTAGCAACATTACAGTTATGAAGTAGCAACGAAAATAATTTTATGGTTGGGTCACAACATGAAGAACTGTATTTAAAGGGCCAGAAGGTTGAGAACCACTGTTCTAAAGGAAACTGAAAAGGCTCATATCTTGATGAGGTGGACATGAGAGTTGTGGAATTTTGGGAAGCCCTACTTCCCTTGGAAATTATGGTTCAACATTCAAATGAGACTGTCGTTGGGAAGGAGGGAGAATGTTGATCTCCACTAATATAAAATATATATTTTTCCTTTTCCCATCTACTTGTGAGGTTTCACATGCGTGGAAAACCGAGACCAGGACCAATAAAACCTACCCTGTAGACTGATTGTGGCCCTAAAAACTTCTTTTAACTGGGATTGGGGATGGAAAATTTTATCCTAAGCCATGGTTTTTTAGGGCTGTGTTTTGTTTTGTTTTGAAGAAAGACCTGATTAAATTGAAAGGGTTACAGAGATGTGTTTTGGTAAAGTAACCATGCTTAATGCCTGTGAATGTGCTCCTCTCAACAGTCTGGCTTGTGCTTCCACTACTGCTCTTATCCATTTATCAGCTCAGCCTTCAGCACAGCCACATGGGCTCCTCTGGCCTGTTATCTGCTTCCTAAGTGAAAGTCTCTGTGCGTCTTGGTTAAGTTCAGCGGTGGCATGGCTGTTGTCTCTGGCTGTAGGAGAAGGATGCATTTGTGAGCTCTGTGTTGCCCTGGTAGAATCCTTTGCCCCCTTTTCTATCTCTTGCAAACCAGGAACACATTTTCTAAGCCAGACGTATTGGAAGGAACAAATAACAAACCCTGAGGTATTGGTGTCACCTTTCATGGTGGGTGCACGGTGTGTTGCTGTTTCCTTTGGGGACTGATTAGAGTAGCTCCCTCCCAAGTGCAGGCTCACCCCCGTCCACTTTTAGGCCCAACTAATGGTTACACTGGATGAAATTTATTCATACCAACCTGCGGCCTTCTCTCATTTGAAAAGTTCAGCTCTTAGGAGCATTAAGGGAAATGAAGATCAGTTGAGCATCACTTTCCATTAGCGCTGGTATTTCCCTCTTGCAGTTGGAATTCTCTTTCACTTGCTAGGCTTATTCCTGCTTCATGTTTCCAGGTAGAATTACAGTGCTCACCTCTTCTCTTCCACTGGCCTGGCACCCCTCCTCCCTATATTGTTTTAAATGTTCTACGAGATCTTCATCTCAGGATTGTCTTCATGTTGTGGTTGAGCGTCTTTCCACTCTGCTTCATTTCCCTTTCCTGTCCTCGTGTCTGTGCTTGGTAGATTAAGACCCATGGCGCTCCCAGATTATGAAGAGGGCAGCAGGTCTGCCTCTCGCTGTGCGAACCTTGGTCTGGCAACTGACTCTCCAGCCTAAGTCACAAGGCCTGGGGCCTTCTAATCTCATGGACAGCGCACTCCCTCCTGATATCTTCTCTCTAGAAGGACATCATGTCCTCCGTCTGGAACACCTATTTCAGAGAGACTTTTTGCTCTTCTGAGATGGAGCCTTTCTGAGAAGGACAAGGTCACCTTCCCACTGCTCTCTGGTTGGCTGAGGGGGTCAGAGGTAAATGCTTTGGTGCATACATAGTACTGGAAGAAAAGAGGTGGCAGACACCATTAAAATCAATCACTGAAAGTTATTTCAAACATTGTTTCTTATATTCTGCCTGTAAAAAATATGAGTTTGCTTGCACAGTCTCCGCCAATGGTTGGGGCCTGGAACTTAGACTGTTTATTCTAGTTCATTATTGTTTTGATTTTGATTTTCCTGGGGGAAGTCATTGTAAACTGTTATGTTCTCAGAAGCACCCCTGCAATAATGAGCATAAACACGGTATTGCAGCGAAATCAATCCTGCACTAACCCAGAGGTAGTCCCGTGCACCAGTGAAGCAGAGGAATGGGTGGATCAGCTCAGAAAAGAGATGAAGAAATCAGGAAGTGCGGGTCAGTCCCAGTCTCAACTCTGCGAGCAGGGAAGTTGTGCAATGCACCCCATCAGCTGTGCGGGAGGAGCAACACCACCTGTCGGCTGCTTCGCAGGCTGTGCCGTGGAGCTTCATTGCGATACCGGCCATGCCTGCGCTTTCTGGAAGACAGGGCAATGTAAAATGCCAGGCGTCTGTGTCCCAAGTGTTCAGGAACCGTGGCCCACTTTCCAAGGCTTAAACAGCAAGTCTCAGTTTGCTATGCTTTCTGGTCGAGCCAGAGCTCACTTCTCTGAGAAAATGTCACTGTTGACTGTTCTGGGAAGAAACAGGACTATGTCGCCAGAACACCGAAGGACTAGTTTTAACATAGGTACTGATTAGTGAATTGGCATAAATTGTGGACGATGATCAGAACTCATCATACCATGTCTTGTTTAGAAACCCTTCCTCCCACGCTACGTTAAACAGCGCACAGCATAAAGCAGACGTAAAGAGTTCTTGGATTGATGAATTGTAACTCCTTCATGGGCCAGAATGGGCTCTTCTGCGTTTGGGATGCTGATAATAATAACAATAGCTAGCACTTTGTGCTGGTCTCCAGGTGATTGCCACACACTGCATCACTGGAGGCCCCCGATGGCCCTGTGACTACTGTGGCAGGTGCTGTCGTCATCCCCACAGTACAGAGAGGGGAAATGCCTGGCCTAAGGCCAAGCTGCTGCCAAGTGACAGCCATTCACTGACCCCTGCAGTCTGGCTGGGGAGGCGCCTGTTTCTTTGACAAGAGTTGTGTTCTGTTGCATCTTGATCACACAAGCACAAACTTCAGTGCAGTGAATGCTGTTTTCTAGGAAGAGAATGGAGACTACACATATGTGGAAAGAGTGAAGATACCCTTGGATCACGGGACCTTGCTAATCATGGAAGGAGCTACGCAAGCTGACTGGCAGGTGAGAACGCGCACGTAATGTGGATTCGCTCATGTGGAGGCAGCGTCTGCCTGGCTTATAATAATCCATTTCTGTAAACATGGTGCAGAGCAAGTTGCTTTTATACTTGCCCAGGAGTTTTGATGCTACTGATAGTGGAACCGGACCTCTATAGCGACGGCGTCCATAGAAACTTCCGCAGTGAGGGGAATGTCCTATATCTGTGCAGCCCAGTGTTCTGGCCACTGGACACATGTGACTGAGTCTCCTGAAATATGGCTAGTATGCAGAAGAACTGAGCTTTAATTTAAATAAATGAAGTAGCTTCAGATATCTAGTGACCAGCATATTGAGCTGTGTAGGTCCACAGCTTAGGCCAGGCCATCTTAAGGGGAGATCATTTTTAAAAAAAATGTCTGTCTTGATTTCAAGGAAAGTAAGGGAGAGGGAAGGAGAGAGAGAAACATTGATGAGAGATAAACATCTATCTGCTGCCTCCTGCACACCCCTTACTGGGGGTTGAGCTTGCAACTCTGGCATGTGCCCTGACCCGGAATTGAACTAGAGACCTGGTGCATAGACAGTGCTCAACCACTAAGCACACCAGCAGGGCAGGTCATTTTTATGTTGTGCAAATTAATGTGAGAACACTTAGCATAAGAGCAGAATCCCACATCTTTCTTTGGTTTCAGCCATTTATTTGTTTTCTTATGAGATTCAGAAACATGGCAGGAGGCTGAGAGGAAGAGCAAGTATTAGAAAAGACAAAACCGTTGCACTGTGAGGGTGCTGGCATCTTGTAGTGGGGGAGTGGGGGTGTTTCAGAGAAGGAGACCATTCTGCACAAGACTCTAAACATCTAACGCTGCCTACTTAAGGGCGCATAAAATCGAAATGTGTATATATACTCATAAATAAGTTTCAAATGGCTTTGAAATAAAAATGTGTGTGTGTTTATGTCAAAGTTATTTCTATTTCCATTTAGCATCGGGTGCCCAAAGAGTACCACTCTAGAGCACAGAGAATAAACCTGACCTTTCGGACAGTCTATCCAGACACGAGAGGGGCGCACCAGTGATGTGAAATCTTTGAGAGAGAAGCCGTGCTGAGACTGAGCAACCCTTCCACCATGAGGAAACTTCTAGAGGCTGTTCCAGCTGATCTTCCCGGATGGCTGTTTGGAAGACAAGGGGTGGACTGACTTCCCAGCTCAGAGCCCTGTTAACTACCAGCCAGCAGTTCACATCCATAAAATGTTTACTATGGGAACAGTAATCCCTAATCACATCTTGAAAGCACATATTTTGTTTAGGCAAATTAAAAACCCCTACGGCTGTGCTCACGGATGATTCTGTCTATAAACAGTTTTTCTGCTGCCCTCCCTTGCTCCATTTGAAAAAAATGTGAATGGCCTTTGCGCTGGTGTAAATGCACACGTGTTTGTTCCTCGTGACTAAATTTAGTGGAGATATAAATGTGCGTCAGCGACTCTGGAGCCGTCCGTAGGCAGACAGCTGCAGAAACCCAAACAGACGTGGCTCACAGAGCCTAGCTGAAGTCGGCCTTGACTCCTTAGCGCTGTGGCTCGTGTGCTATTGTAATGGAAAGCCGCGTGTTCTGGGGGCACTGTATTTAACTGCCAGTCCTCCCGGGACACCCCAGACAGGGAATAAAGGTGAAGGCAGTGTTCACACTAGGACGCCATCTTCAAGCCGCCACCCAGACTGCTTAATACAAGAGAAAACTGTCCCCTCAGAGGGAGGAATACTTGCCTGATGTCATGAGAAATTTGGGCTCAAGAGCAGCAAATGCTCTGCTAGTGGCAGCTGTTCCACATAAATTAGTTTCCCCTGGAGAATGACTTGAGTCATTTAAACCCAAACCAGACAGAAGCTGGAGCAGTCCCGCAGAGAGCAGACTCGGTTACCTAATGGTTCTCTCCATTGAGATTCCAGTGGCCCTGTGACTAAGGCTGTCTTCTGACTCAGTGTTCCCTTAAGACCCAAGTTCCCGGGACTCAGGGCCTAGTCCATGATGTCACCGAGGTTCCCAAAACACAACAACGTAGCGGCCCCTATTGCACCATAAAACCATGTGGTCTTGACCTCTTGACTTAGGCAGTGTGCCAGATTAATTCCAAACCAAGATAAGAAAAGGCAGAGAGGAAGAAAATGGATGAAAATGGGCCAGGAGCGTTAGAGTTTCCCTAGCTGCCTGTGGGGAGAATTTACAGAGCCTCCTTGCTTTTGATCTTGTTTCCATCCAGTGCTGTGAGGCTGATGGTCCCACGATCAGGGCAAAGTGCTGGAGGCTGGGCGGGGTCTGCCCCGAGCTCCTAGCCCCAGTGTAGCGCCACGCCTAGCCAGGCTCTGCTCTGACGGGCTCTCCCCCACGCTCTCGGCTTCTTGCATTGGAATCCCTCCACCTTTTCTGTTAATGCTGTTACCTGAGTACAGCTCCTTTCTCTGAGAAATTCTAAATGCTTCATAAAACCTGACCATCACACTAAGCCTTCCTGCGAGGGAGGTACAAATCACCATAAAAACAAAGCCTCTTTTTAATCCCCAGCTTTTCTCCTATTAAAACAAACAAACAAAAAAACCTGGCCAGGGTGGTAGAGTCTGCTTCAGTTATGAGTTTGACACCTGACACGGGGAAATTCCTCTTCCATTCCCAGACATGAAAGGACTGGCAGATGGTCCCAGGTCTTACAGCATCCCTCCTAATGTAGGGCCTGACCTCCCCTGCGTCAGCTGCAGATCTGACCTCTTCACTCATCGCAGCCCCGTCTGCCAGGGAGGCAAGTGCTGGCTTTCTTCAGCTGAAAACCGCCAGAGGTTTTGTTTCCTGCTGCCCAGTGCCAGAACTGCCATTTCCCCACCATGAAAATAGTGTCCCTCCTGAACCGTGCAGGAGGGACTCTCCATAGAGTCATAGGACAGGGTTTAGGATGAGACAGGAATTCAGACCCTGGCGGGGGCAGCCCTGCTCAGTGACTGCATCGCCTGCTGCTGGGCTTTGCTGGCGGTGGATCTTCCTTGGGATTAGGAATGAAGCTGTTCTACTAACATTCCTGGTAAAGCAGAGGAAGCAAATATGTGGCTGTAGCATGATGAAAAACACAGGTTTCGTTTTTTAGCTGCCCTTTATTTGAGCTTTAATATCCTGCCACACACTGTCCTGGGAGCGTTTTATACAGAGTCCCTAGTCTTCATAGCCCTGCGAGAAAGATGCTGTTTCCATGACAGAGACCAAGCAAGCAGCTGAGTCTCCAAGAGCTTAAGAAATTTAACAGGACTTATAAATGGCAGAACCAGAATTCAAAGCACAGGCCAGTCCCTAAACTGTGCTTTTGCCTCTGCCTTCCTGAATTTAGGCAGAGTGGCCTGCTCAGCATCCCTGGGCCCTGAGCTCAGGGCTTGCTCATGCAGAGCTGGTAACCCAGCCTCCCCATACCTGCTGGCAAGGCTGGTGGCCCAGCAGCCCCGTAGCTGCTGGTAGAGCTGACGACCAGGCCACCTTGTTTGTCCCCTGGCTTTCCTGTGCATTAGGGCAGCATCTGTAACTCCTCCCATTCAACCTGGCATCTCCTCGTCAGAGACCATGTGCCAAATGGACTAGTCATTGGCCATTTTACTGGGGAAGCTCATTTGCGGGGAAAGAATCCAGTTTCTGGCAAGTTGGACAAGTTCTCATCCAGCCTTCCTGGTAGTGTTTCCTGACCGTGTCTAAGAAACTTTCAGAGGTAGATGAGTGGTCCTTCCTCCCTTTATTCTTACCTGGGAGTCCATTTGGAGACTGAATGATGCCCAAACTCAGCATCAGGCTTCTTCACAACACTTCACAGTGCCAGCCAGCAGACAGCCCAGAGAAATGCTTGCCTCGAAGCGCGGGTCGGAACGTGTGCCTGGCATCAGAGTATATCCGCAGTGTGGAAATAGGGCCCACTGGCTCGGGCGGCCTCTGAGATTCCTAATAAGTGTGGGACACAGCTCGTAAGCCTGCCCTGTCCTCATGGCCCTCCCTCCTACTGCCTCCATGGCTGATGTGACCCTGCCAGCAACTGGCACCTTCTCTTGTGTCACGGCAACCCCAGAAGAGTTGAGTGGGCGCCGTGATGAGCGGAACGCCAAGTTGGAGGGCTTAATTAAGAGAAAGCCTGACATGATGGGTCCCTGCCCTGTGGGGAATGTCTCCTTGAGTTCTGGCGACTTCTTTTTGGCTGCAAAATATCTGAGACTCACTTTGCTCTTTCTGGAAGTAAACACTTGTAGTGTTGAATCTGAATTATTATTCTTTTTTTTAATCCTCCCCTGAGGATATTTTTCCATTGATTTTTAGAGAGAGGGGAAGACAGAAATATCCATGTAAGAGACACACATTGATAGGTTGTCTCTTGCACATGCCTTGTCCAGGGCCCAGGCTGGGGAGGAACCTGCAACCTCAGTATGTGCCCTTGACCGCAATTGAACCTGGGACCCTTTGGTCTGCAGGCCGATGCTCTATCCATGGAGCCACACCGGCTAAGGCTGAATCTGAATTCTTGATTATTGTTCCTAACAATGCCTTCGAAAAAGCCAAATGTTTTCATAGCGATGCATTGTTTGTTTAAATCTTTACTTATACATGGTTCCATCCACATGCCCCCTCGCAGGGACCCAGTCTACAACTGTCCCCTTCTCCCTCCTGGTTTCTCTGGAAGGAACCGCCACAGGAGGCCCCTGTCAGTTTTGTGCTGTGGAACCCATTCTTGGATATGATTTCTGTGCCTGGGGTCAGCGATTGGCGTGGAGGTGGGGGAGAGGTGGGGGGCTTTGATGTTTTCGTATTAGAGTGGCACCCTGACTCACGGTGCCTTTCCAGCTGGGCCTTTTGCTGCTGCGCCTGCCAAGTGCTGAGTTATGGAAGCTTCCCCAGCCGCACACAGAGCCCTGGCTGGGCTGGGCTGGGCTGGGCACGGGGGCCAAGAGCAGGGTAGGAACACAGGAAAATTAGGTAGTAGCTTTGTAGCCAGCATGACC